AAGGGCTGGGGACGACAGGTGACTGAAGCACTCCCAGAGGGAAGAGCAGGTTGAGGGGCTGGAGGGAACTGAAGCAAGGGTGTCACTTCTTTGTGTGTGCTGCTGAAAACCTGGAGGATTCCAAGGGAGGTCAGAGGCCGTGGCACAGGGCAGCATGTGGGGAATCCTACAGTTCCTCAGCCTTGTGTTGCTGCTGTTTCGGCCTGGATCTTTGTGGGGTTCATCCTGTGCACTGTAGGCTGTGGGGAAGCACCTCTGTCCCCTGCACTTGGTAGACAAGCAACAGTGAGTGTCTCCAGGCATCACAGGCTGCCCCGAGTGGGAAGAGCACTGATGGAGCACGGGATGTATGTTCTGACACCTTTTCCCTGTCACTGCGGTGAATGATGGCGGAAGGTCACCTTCGAGGACCAGGGAAGCAGGTTTCAGTGGGAAGAAACATGCCAAAGGGTTACCCCTGAGCGCAAGCAGGGACCATATAGTGCAGTGTGAGCTGAGAAGCATGGGGAGTGTCCAGAATGTGCACATGAGTGTAGGAACAGTGAAACAGGCAGGCCAAAGCCGGGTTGTACCAGGGAGTGAGTGCACGGAGGCCAGGTGACACCGGAAGTGGTGGCGTGATGGGAGGAGGCCATGGTAGTGATGGCGTGGTGGAAGATTTGGGGGACCCGAGAGAGAGGGGAGGGGCAGAGGGAGGGAGAGGTTCTGGTCACTGAGTTAAACTGTTTAGGGTGATGGGGGGGACAACTGTTGAGGTGGGGAAAGGTAGGGGCAAGTCTTCAAACCAGAGCAGGAAGCCGAGCCAGAGGCTTCTAAGGCACTGCCGTCCAGGGAACAAGTGTCCTGAAGGCCGTGCTCTATCTGGAGACCACCATCCTGGGTACTCCATTATTTCTCGTAGTCTGTGTGTGATACTGTGTGTTAAGCCTAGGCTGTTGGAAGCTCTAACCCTAAGGAAGAACCCCTACAGTGTGGGTGACACAGGGAGAGGTGATGAGGACCAGTGCTAGCCCGCTCTGATCAGAATCCTCCCACTAGGTGTGATGGCCAGCTCCCACGTGGACATGGCGCCAGCTTCCACCACCCAGGGAACCGAGGAAAAGCCAGGTCCCACTGCCCCAGCACCCACCCCCGCTGCTCAGTATGAGTGCGGGGAGTGTGGTAAGTCCTTCCGGTGGTCATCTCGGCTCCTGCACCATCAGCGCACGCACACGGGCGAACGGCCTTATAAGTGCCCGGACTGCCCCAAAGCCTTCAAGGGTTCTTCAGCCCTCCTCTACCATCAGCGGGGCCACACAGGCGAGCGGCCGTATCAGTGCCCAGACTGTCCCAAAGCCTTCAAGCGCTCCTCCCTGCTGCAGATCCACCGCAGTGTTCACACGGGCCTGCGAGCCTTCACCTGTGGCCAGTGTGGCCTGGCCTTCAAGTGGTCATCCCACTACCAGTACCACCTGCGACAGCATACTGGCGAGCGGCCCTACCCATGCCCAGACTGCCCCAAGGCTTTCAAGAACTCGTCCAGCTTGCGGCGCCACCGGCATGTGCACACCGGAGAACGCCCTTACACCTGTGGCATTTGCGGCAAGAGCTTCACACAGAGTACCAATCTGCGCCAGCACCAGCGGGTACACACAGGGGAGCGTCCATTTCGCTGTCAGCTCTGCTCCAAGACCTTCACACACTCCTCCAACTTGCTGTTGCACCACCGCACCCACAGCCCCGCCCCTGGCTCCATCCCCACCCCTGCGGGGGAGACCAGCAGAGCCAGCACCAAGGTCCTGGTCTCTGATGCCTACCTACAGCCCCGCAGCCCACCTGCACCCCAAGTCCCGTCCCCTCCACCCCCACCCGTGGTCCCTGAGCTCTTTCTGGCAGCTGCGGAGACCACTGTGGAGCTGGTGTACCGCTGTGACGGCTGCGAGCAGGGCTTCAGCAGCGAGGAGCTGCTCTTGGAGCACCAGCCCTGTCCGGGTCCCGCCGTGGCCGCCCAGCCCCAAGATGAGCCTGCCGAACTGCCCCAGGCCGATCCCCCTCTGCCACAGCCCCCGCCTGTCACTGCGGAGTCCCCGAACTTTGCTTGCCTTCCTTGCGGGAAGTCCTTCCGGACCGTGGCTGGCCTGTCCCGCCACCAGCACAGCCATGGCGCAGCCAGTGGGCAGGCCTTTCGCTGTGGCAGCTGTGATGGCGCCTTCCCACAGCTGGCCAGCCTTTTGGCTCACCAGCAGTGCCATGTGGAGGAGGCGGCCGCTGGACGCCCGCCCCCTCAGGCTGAGGCTGCTGAGGTCACCTGTCCCCAGGAGCCTCTAGCCCCAGCCACTCCTGCTCCACCTCCACCCCCGCCTGCCCCTGTTTCTGCAGAGCGGCCATACAAATGCGCCGAGTGTGGCAAGGCCTTCAAGGGTTCTTCCGGGCTGCGTTACCACTTGCGGGACCACACCGGCGAGCGGCCCTACCAGTGCGGGGAGTGCGGCAAAGCCTTTAAGCGTTCCTCTCTGCTGGCCATCCACCAGCGCGTGCACACGGGCCTTCGAGCCTTCACCTGTGGTCAGTGTGGCCTCACCTTCAAGTGGTCGTCCCACTATCAGTACCACCTGCGACTGCACTCAGGTGAGCGGCCCTATGCCTGCAGCGAGTGTGGCAAAGCCTTCCGGAACACATCGTGCCTGCGGCGCCACCGACACGTGCACACTGGCGAGCGGCCGCACTCCTGTAGCGTGTGTGGCAAGAGCTTTGCACAGACCTCCAATCTGCGGCAGCACCAACGCGTGCACACGGGCGAGCGACCCTTCCGCTGCCCACTCTGCTCCAAGACCTTCACCCACTCTTCCAACCTGTTGCTGCACCAGCGCACCCATTCTGCCGAGCGCCCTTTTGCCTGCCCCATTTGCGGCCGTGGCTTTGTCATGGCTGCCTATCTGCAGCGGCATCTGAGGACGCACACCCCAGCCACAGCAGCCTTGGGCACCACCGGCCCTACTGCTCCACAGCCTCCTGCCCCATTGGCCGCAGCTCCAGCTCCACTGGCTGCCCAAGATGTTCATGTCCTTCCCCACCTACAGGCCACACTTTCACTTGAAGTAGCTGGGACCACAGCTCAGGCTACACCCCCAGGCCAAGTCGTCCCCAACTCCCAGACATTTCTCCTGGTACAGACTGCCCAGGGCCTTCAACTGATCCCTAGCAGTGTCCATCCCCCTACCCCTCCACCACCGCCTCCACCCCCCAAACTCATTCTGCTGCCTCCTGCCAATACTGGGGGTATGAGCAATGGTGCTGCGAGACAGGGCCCTCGGGCTGTGGGGAAAACTGGACAGGGGACAGGGGTAATGTGGTTTCCAGGCCCAAGTGGTCTGGGGATGCAGGGAGGGGGTAATGCGGGGGCTAGCGGGGGAGGCCAGAGCCTCATCGTTCTGCAGAATGTAGGGAGTGGAGAGACAGGGTCACAGGAAGTGAGTGGGGTTCACCTTCAGCCAGCACAGGAAGTGGCCACGGTCCAACTCCAGCCTGCACAAGAAGTGACCACGGTCCAGCTGCAACCAGCACAGGAAGTGACCACGGTCCAGCTCCAGCCCCTGACAGGCCAAGTCTCCAGTTCCAATGGCGGGGCTGTGGCTACGGACACTCCAAACCTGCTGGTGGTTCAGAGTGGGGCTGCTGAAGAGCTGCTCACCGGCTCTGGGCCTGGGGAGGTGGGGGACAGCGAAGCCAATGCCAGTGTGGTTCAGGATGTCCTGTTTGAAACGCTGCAGACAGATGAAGGGTTGCAGAGTGTGCTGGTGCTGAGTGGGGCGGATGGCGAGCAGACCAGGCTCTGTGTGCAGGAGGTGGAAACCCTTTCCCCTGGGCTGACAGAGCCACCCGCCACTGCCCCAGCAGGACAGAAACTCCTTATCATTCGGAGCGCTCCCGCTACCGATCTGCTGGAGAGCAGCAGTGCTGCAGGAGGCACCGCGACACTGCAGCTCCTGGCCCCACCAACACCTGGCCCAGTCTCTGCCCCTGTCGGGGTGCCCGTAGCTCCCACCTCCCAGATGGTACAAGTGGTCCCTGCAGTGGCTGGCCCGGGGGTCATTTCTCCCCAGAGCTTGCCCTCTATCCAGATTGTACAGACTCTGCCCGCAGTCCAGTTGGTGCACACATTTTGAAGAGACCCACTAGTACCTCCGTCTGCCACAAAGCCCCTCCACACCCCCCCCCCCCCCCCCCGCCGCACTAACTGTTCTCCTCAGCAGGGCTGGGGTCAGCCGAGTCAAGAGGGCCGCTGGCTGGGCTTGCTAATAAAGACAGAGTCTCTTCTTGGTTTCGTTTTCATGGGGAAGAGGATAGCCATGGGCATAGCTTCTGCCTAGGACCTGGAAGTCTTCATTCTTGCCACCGGCTCTGAGATGACGTGCTTTGTACTCGGAGGCTAGCTGCTACTCCAGGGTGCAGCTCAGTTCCCCCATCCTTTAAATTTTTAATGAGTTTTATTATGTGTGTGTGTGCGGGGGGGGGGGTTACACCTGTGGAGGTCAGAGACTTTGTGGGCGTCTGCCATGTGGATTTTCTTTTGGCAAGCTCTCTTACTCCCTGAACTATTTCTCTGGTCCTTTCCTATCCTCTAGTGTGTGTGTGTCCATCCGTCCGTCCGCGCAGGTGCGTGTCACTGTGGTCACTAGAGTAGGGAGGATCAGGGATCAATTCCAGATTCTTCACTGCTTTCGTGTAAGTCAGTCTCACCTTCACCTTACCGGAAAGGTAGGAAGAGGGCTATTACTGATCCAAACGATACCCAGACGCCACCGCGTTGAGATAAAGGTGCCTGCGGATGCGGATGCTCAGTACTGCTCCCACTCCTACCCGGAAGACCCAGGCGCCAATGAGACTAGGTTCGCAAGCAAAGCCTCCTCCTCCTGATGCTTAGGTCGCTTAGCAACGAAGGACCGGCTAGAAAGGAGCTGTGCTAACCCTCCACAGGCAGTCCCGGGTAAGAAACCCTCTCTGTCCCCCACCCCCTTCCTCTTTCCCTATGGTTCTCCCACCGGCCTCCAGCAGGTCACTGCTCTTGCCTCGCCCTCGCAGTTCCCTCATTACTCCCAACCCCTGCCCGGTGGTGGGGGAAACTTGGCAGCAGTTGCTAAGGCACCGGCCCCGCCTCCGGTCGGGAGTGTGAACGTCACTTCCGCCGGTGACCCTTTCCTGACCCTGCTCCCCCTTTCTGTCAAGGGATTCGAGCAACCCCGTGGAGGTGCTTGCAGGGCCCTGTTACTGCTCGCCGCATGGGGACCACTGCAGGAGATGGGCTCCTGGAGAGTGGGGAGGGAATGAGTTTACAGATGGCTGAATGCTTTCCCCGGAGTGGGGGATGATTCGGGGAGACTTTGAGCCCCACTGGGTATAGGGGCGCCTGACCTGCCACTGTGGCAGCCCTCTTTGGCGGTGCTCCAGCGTCCTTAGTGATCTGGGAAATGCTGCAGTCCATTCCTCCCAGGGCTCTGAGGAGTCAGGTGCCCACCTAACACAGACCTACTTGTTTTCAGCAGGTGCACGACGCCAGCTCCCTTCCGGGGAGGGGGCGGCGGCCCGGGGGCTGCCATGGCCTCCAACCACCTGTCAGTGCGGGAAATGAGGGAAGATGAGAAGCCCCTGGTGCTGGAGATGCTGAAGGTGAGAGGCCGGCAGGGGCACCAGTGAGCATGCGCAGCTCCTCAGGGACGTTCATTCAAAGTGGGTTCCACCTGCCCCGCCCACCTGCCTGCGCTCTCAGGGACCTCCAAAGGGGGAATATCTTTGCCTCGACTGTTTTCAAATGGTCCCTTATCTCTAGTTCCTTCTTACACCTCAGCTGCTATTTTTCAAAAAAGCAGCTGGAAGGGTGTGGGGGCTGGATGTTCAGGCCTCCTGACTGCCAGTCAGCCTCACTTATCAGCCCCCAAACGACAGATGTTCTCATCTCCCAGACCCTCCTGCGAAGAGCCTACGGCCTCACTTTCTCTATCCTGTTAAGTCTTGTCTGGTGTTTTACCCTAGCATGCCCTCCATACTCATTGGCTCCAGACCCTGGTTCATTCATTCACTCAGCCCTTCACACCCAGGTCAGGCTGGAACTACCCCAACAGCTGTCGTCTCTTCCCTCATGGGAACCCTTCCTTCCTCGGGCAGTCCAATGTGATGAGTGGCTGAGCCCCTACTCCCACCCACAGGCTGGTGTAAAAGACACGGAAAACCGTGTGGCCCTCCACGCTCTGACACGTCCACCAGCCCTTCTCCTCCTGGCTGCAGCCAGCAGCGGCTTGCGCTTCGTCCTGGCCTCCTTCGCCCTGGCCCTCCTGCTGCCGGTGTTTCTGGCCGTGGCTGCCGTGAAGTTGGGCCTGCGAGCCCGATGGGGCTCTCTGCCTCCGCCAGGCGTTCTGGGGGGACCCTGGGTGGCTGTCCGCGGCTCAGGCGATGTGTGTGGGGTCCTGGCTCTGGCCCCTGGTGCCAATGTGAGGGACGGAGCCCGAATCACCCGCCTCTCGGTCTCTCGGTGGCACCGTCGCAGGGGCGTAGGCAGGAGACTGCTGGCCTTTGCTGAGTCCCGAGCTCAAGCCTGGGCTGGGAGTGTGGGGGAGCCTCATGCCCGGCTCGTGGTCCCGGTGGCTGTGGCTGCTTTGGGGGTGGCAGGGTTATTGGAGGCCTGTGGTTACCAGGCAGAGGGAGGTTGGGGCTGCATGGGCTATATGCTGGTTAGAGAATTCAGCAAGGATCTGTGATTATAGACCATGCCCACTGGGGAGATGGGCATGAAACCGGCACCTAAAGAGCACCTACTGTGTGCCAGGCACTTTCCATCCCTTCCCTCGGTGAAGAACTGAGGTTGCTGGATGCACATGGCCCGCAGTGGACCTGCCAGGTGCAGTAGGGTCTCTTCTTGGTAGACCCCAGGGACCGCTAGCGGTCACCCTGTCCACTCTTTGCCCCCTAGTCTGTATACACTGAAAAAACAAACAAACCTCTGGTTCTACAAAACCCCTGTTGTGTGTGTTTTAGGTCTCAAAGGATATTTGGAGAGAGTAAGAGGCAGAGTTAAGAGTCTGTGACAGGGAACCCCCAAAGGGGACAGATCTTCTGGAATGGGTGGAGCTGGGAGCACCGAGTTTCCAAGCCCATCTGTTTTTTTACAGTTTGTTAATAAAGCCGGAGACTTCTGCGTGTCTGTCTCCTCTCTGATGCCTTTTCCAGCTGCTTCCTCCGAACCCCCTGCTTCCGTCTGGCTCCTCCTCTCCAAAGTTGACGTTAATTGCTCGGGAAGGGGCGGTGCAGCAGTGCTCTGGGAGAAGGAGAGGCAGAGGCAGTGAGCTCACAGCGGCTGCCGGGCCCCTGCCAGGCTTTCTGAGTCATGCTCCCCATTACCACATTTTTCCCCCTCGCAGCTGCCTGGTGTGTGCGTGTGTGTGTGTGTGTGTGTGTGTGTGTGGACACCCCCTCCAGACTGAAGCCTTGACCCCTTGGTCACCCTACCCTCCATACCTTTGTTCTGGGAACTAGTAAGTTCAGACACTCCTTCCTCAGATAGGGACTAGAAGCTTCCCATGTAGATTTAACAGAGTGGGTATCAAATGGAGAGAGGTTTTTTTGTTTGTTTCTTTGTTTTCAGTTTCTTTTCTTAATCTAGGAAGTCCCTCCTAGTGTCTGGCTGCAGGCCTTCTTGCTACTGCAGGATTCCCCCCAAATCTGTCCCCTTCCAGCCACACTTCCTTGGCCGGATAACAAGAGGAGGCAGGAGGGTGTGCCCTCAGCCTTGTCCCCCCCAGAACCCAGGCAGTCCTGTCCCTTCCCAGAGCTGCCATCCCCATAAGCATCTCTGAGCACGTGGCCCTCTGGAGCCTGGCTGGCCGCCTCGCTCCAGTGTGGGTGTCTGCACTTGAACACCTCCCTTCTGCCTGCCCACCGCCCCCCCCCTCAGCCTCAGCTGCGGCCAGCCCCCTCCCCCTCCTGTCCCCTGCTGCCTCCTTGCAGCTGCTCTCCCTCCTGGCAAAGCCTTCAGCCCAGCCTGCTCCTAGCTGTCCAGGGCGCCTCAGCAGCCGGCTTCCCTCCCTCCTTCCCTCCCTGGCTGCCTCCTCCTCCCTTCTCCTATCCTCCTTCCCCCTTCACCCCCATCCCCTGCCCTGGACTCTGCAAACATGAGGGTCTTGGCCTGCCTCCTTGGTGAGTGACCCATTCCTGGGGGGGTGGGTACCTTAGGGACCTGGACTTTCACCTCTGACCCTTTAGCTTGTCCAATTTAGGGACTCAGGCTTCAGGGAGCCATTTCTGGCCCTTGGTGCTCGGGGATAGCCTGACATCTGGCTGGCCACCCTAACCCTCAGGTACCCAGTCTTTAGCACGTCCTGCCTAGCAACCCAAGTGACCTGCCCTTTGTTGCACTGGCATTCTTACTGCAGGGGATGAGGGGGTGGGGGGTATCACTCCCTACCATTCAATCTGGTCCCCAGCCCTGTCTTCAAGAGTCAGGCATCTATCTGGGGCCCCACCCGCCCCAGGGACCTGTAACTTATCCCAGCCTCCACCCAAAGTCCATTCTAGCCATGGGGTTTCTGACTCAGAGGAATCTGAATGCCAGGGGATCCGTTTGCGACTGAACTTAAGCCGGGAGCCTGCACTGGGGAAAGGACCCCTCCCCTTTGACTCACCCTTCACTCTGTCCCCTCCAACCTCCTTTGCAGCACTACTGGTGGGGACCCAGGCTATTGGTAAGTGTCCTGATTCTCCAGTGGGCCTCACCCAGCTCCAAGGCTCCTGTCGTCACTCTCCTGCTGGTCCCTGCTACCCTGATTCCACTCTGACCTTCCACACAGCCCTCAGTATCTCTAAGACACTCCACTCATTGTATCAGGAGTCTGGGTCCAGAGTCCTGTCTCCGGGGTAGCTGGCTTCCTGATGGTACCTTACTGTCCCCTAACCCCCAGACCACAGTTCCCCTGTCTGGAGCCACAGCCTTTGCTTCACCCCTCAGAGCGACTACGCCTGGCTGATGGCCCTCACGGCTGTGCAGGACGCCTGGAGGTCTGGTACAGCGGGCGCTGGGGCACTGTGTGTGATGACGGATGGGACCTTCGGGATGCTGCGGTGGCCTGCCGGGAGCTGGGCTGCGGAGGGGCACTGGCCGCCCCTGGGGGTGCCTTCTTCGGGGAGGGCACTGGACCTGTGTGGCTCAGTGAGCTGGCCTGTCGGGGCAGTGAGGGACAGCTGGGTATCTGTCCCCACCGGGGCTGGAAGGCCCATATCTGTTCTCATGAGGAGGATGCAGGCGTCGTCTGTGTAGGTAAAGGACTCAAACTCCTCTCATGTTGATGGCCCCAGGAACCCCCAAGTCCTTAGTTCCTGTAGATCTGAGCTGTCTAGAAGCTGAGAGGTGCCTACTTATCCCCCATAAGGCCAGGTGCCCCATCTCAGGACCCCCCCCCCCCCAGCTTACAATCACTTATTTCTGAGCCCTAGGGAATTCAAGCATCCAGGTGGTTCTTCTGTCCCAAGGATCAAATGACCTCGCTACTCCTTACCCCATGGCCATCCTCACAACTCCCGTGCTCTCCCAAAGGTCAGCGTGCAGCTAACTCTAGAGAAGATTCAACATCCCTACTGGATGGGGATCCGTGGCCACCTCTGTCTGGGGAGCTGAGCCAGAGCTCAGAGGAGCCCCCAGTGACTCATGGTGAGCACAAAGGACTAGGCCTCCTGTCCCGCAACCCCGTCTGTCTCAGCTATGGGGGAAGGTCATCTTGCTGCAGATGTTTTTCTGCAAGCTAGTGAAGTAGTGTCCTGCATGACCCAGGAGTCCTCCACACTTCAGACCCTCAGCGAGAGAGACCTAGACAAGTGCCAAGAGTCAGGAAGGATGAATAGCTCAGACCCTGACCTCCGGGTCACGTGTCGCTTTCCCAGCTCCCCAACCAGCAGCAACCTCCCAGAATGGCCCTCGCAAGAAGAACCCCCGACCACCCAAGCAGGCCAAGTCCACCCGGGCCCCTGTACTGACAAATGGAGCTTCCCGCCAAGGTAACCTCCAGATCTCCCTGGTTTCCCTCACTGATCTGGGTGCCGGGAGCTTCCCAGACTTTCTTCTGCCTGTGGCCCTCCAAGGAGGCCAGTGTTCACAGTGTTCTCCCTCAGGATTCAGGCAGGGCTGGCCATGCCCTCTAACTGATCCTTCCCTTATGAGACCCAGGGGACCTGCCAACGGCGGTTCTCTTTTTTGAATGAGCCAGTCGGCAGACAAACTTGAGTCCCCTGCCCTTTCTGGGCTTCAGTTTTCCCAGGTGGAGGAACAAGAGGCTGATATTAGATCTAACCTCTTAAGGTCTCCCTTCTCTGTCTGTATCCCCCAGAGCGACTGCGCTTGGTCTCAGGTCCCCACGGATGCGCTGGCCGCCTGGAAGTCTGGCACGGTGGACGCTGGGGCACTGTGTGTGATGATGGATGGGACCTCCGAGATGCAGCAGTGGCCTGTCGGGAGCTGGGATGTGGGGGGGCGCTGGCCGCCCCTGGGGGTGCCAGATTCGGACCTGGTGCAGGACCCGTGTGGATGGACGACGTGGGCTGTGGAGGGGGAGAGCAGGCTCTCCGGGACTGTCCCCGGAGCCCCTGGGGCCGGAGCAACTGTGACCACACTGAGGATGCAGGGCTGGTCTGCACTGGTATGCGGGATGGGTGGGGGGCACAGATTACCCCCTCTCCTCTTCAGTTCTCAGGTCCCAGCCCCTCCCTCCCCCCAGGAAGCAGTAAAAGGCCTGGCCTCAAGGCTGTCTCTCTGCACATTCTCTGGAAAAATGGGAGAGTCAGATTTGAAGCTTGGGTTTAGTCTACCAAGCTTCGAAGCATTCGGGGAGCAATGAGGCTAGAAACCCAGACAAAGGGCTAGGGGTTATGGAAAGGCAGTTGAGAGCTCCCTCCTCCATTCCCTCTCTTCCTTCTTCTACTGCCCCGCCTCCCCCTCCTCCACATTCTTGTTCCCTGTTGGCACAACTCAGTACCTATTCATCCATCCTGATTCCTCACTGGTCTAACTCCGTACCTGCGCACCCATGCTGGTCTCCTACAGAACGTTAACATAGTCCTCGCGAACTCATTCTAGTTTTCCCCTCTGGTATAACATCTGCAGCTCCTCATCCATTCTAAGTTCTTGTCACCCTATCCCCTGTCCTATATCCAGGTCCTGCACCCAGGCTGCGACTTGCTGATGGTCCCCATGGCTGCGCGGGCCGCCTGGAGGTTTGGCATGGCGGTCGCTGGGGATCAGTGTGTGACGATGCCTGGGATCTTCGTGATGCTGCTGTGGCCTGCAGGGAGCTGGGCTGTGGGGGCGCGTTGGCCGCCCCAGGGGGCGCCTTCTTTGGGGAGGGGGCTGGACCCATTGTCCTGGATGATCTCAGATGTCGGGGGAATGAGACAGCCTTGCGATTCTGCCCTTCGAGGTCCTGGGGCCAGCATGACTGTCACCATCGGGAGGATGCTGGGGCTGTGTGTGATGGTAAGGGCCTGTGAGTGACATCAGTGGGGAAGGAGGGGGACAGTGGGTGTGTGGCCACCTGGAGTGGATGGGAAAGAATGTTGTCCCTGCTCACGCTGCCCTGGAGGTAATACTAATGTCTTCTTGCTCGACCTAGGCATGCCGCTAGGTGATGTGCAGCCCACAGCCCCCACAGTCGACAGCAACACCTCAGCACCCCGGCTTCTGTCTACCTCAGTGAGCCAGACCCCAGGCCCAGTAGACAGTCGGCCTCCTGCCTCTCCCACTGACCCTCCAGAGCCTGGGCCTGAAGCTGGTGAGTCCCTCTCTGCCCTGGCTGTGTGTGAGACTGTCCCCTGCCCCTGCTCACTAGGACACATACTGGCTGACACCCTAAAATCCAGGGCTGTGTTTGCACACGGGTCCTGCCTTCTGTAGCTGCCCTGAGCAGGCCAGGAGGGGAGGACAAGAGTCCCATCACAAGCTTCTGGGTTCTCATGCCCTGGAGTGGAACTGTCACAATGTCCTCTGGCTTGCTCCGAGTAACAGCACAGCTTAAGAATTGTTTTCACATGATGAGGACTAGGGAGATGGCTCAGTGGGTAAAGTACTTCCTGTGCAAGCATGAGGACCTGGGTTCAGATCCCAGCACCGGAGGAAAAAGCTTGGTGTGGCAGTGCACACCTGTAGTTCAGGGCTGGAAGAGCAGAGACAGGAGG